CCCCAAAACCCCAAAACCCCAAAACCCCATAAGGTAAGTAAGTTTATTTTCAATATTTGAAAATCAAAAATTCTAACTATTTACAATCAAGAAGAACGCATAAATATATTTATATAAATATTTTGCAAGATTTATTTTTAGAACTAGGATCTGATTCTTTATATAGCATGAAGATTTTCCACTATAAAGTCAAATCTTAAGAAAAGCTCAAGTAGAAAGTAGTCATTAGGTAGCCTGCTAGGTAATATTTTATTTATATTAATTCATAAGAACTCTCATCTAATCTCCATTCCTTGCAATATTACGTTTCTTACCACTAGATATCATGTTGTTATTAAGTAATTTTGAATTATTAAGACTACTGCTTGTATTACACTTATCTCTCAAGAAAAAATTAGTGCCATAATTCTTCATGTAGCTCAGTTTCTTAGGATTTATACTTCCTTACTTATCTTGATTGACATTGATCATTGAGTTTTTATGAGCGGAAGATATATGAATATTTCCACCAATACTCTTTGCACGACTTTCACTTTGATGCCTTGCTTAAAAAGCTGATCTTCTTTTTGGAGATTTTTGGCTTTCCTAACTTTATAACCTTTCATCATTGTTCTTATCGTTTTAAAAGCTAAGTGATGCATGATGATCCTAATATTCTATCTCCACTAATGGCATTTATTGATATTACTTCAATAATGCATCAAGCAAGTTATTTTAACCTAACTTTTTATAGTAAATTTTCCGCTAAACAAAATTGGGCTCGTTCATTTTAATGTAAGGATTATAATTTTTTAATTGCATTTATGTTTATCTGTTAAAATTTTCCTAATCAGATGTACCATTGTTATTGGAATCTGTTGTTAGCATTTCCAAATTTGATAAGTGACCATTTTGATGCTAAGTCTTGGGTATTTCAGAATCAATCAGATTTGAAACTTTTTTTGATTGATTAGCAGTCCTTGATTTATTATTGTAAAATTAAGATGTTTAATTTTCTTAAGGATTCTTTTTCGGGGAAGAATTCCTATGAGTTTAAATTCCTTTATTCAGTTTTTTATGTTTTGGTTTGCTCAACAGTAGATCTTATCGTAGTTTAATAACAGTTTATTATCCTGAATAAGCCATAGAATTATGATTTGTAACAGATGATTCATTCATGCTTTATTTTTTAGATTTAAATGGAGTTTTCAATGATATATCTTTTATAACGATTTATGATTCTGATACTGAAAATTATTTTCCTTATGTTTATTAATATTATTCATGATTTTCAAAGGATTAATTACTTGGATTGATCATTTGAAGAAATCTCTATTTCGACAATCTTAGGTGATTTATAGATTTTATGCCAGTTTGCATTTCTTAAGTATCCTAGAAATGCTGCTACTATTTTTAACTATTAGAATTTGAACTATTTCGAAGCAGGTTTATTTAATACTGATTTTGACTAAGGTAACCTCCTTTCTTGTTAAGCAAAACAGTTCTTCTTTTCAAACGTTGCTGTGAGAATACGGTCATCGGTCTTATCTCACTATCATATTTTTATATCTACTCCCGGCTATTAGATCTAACCTCTTTAGTCATAGGTCTCGATTAATTAAGGTCTCTTTTTATTCTAAGTTTATTTGACGTTTCCTAGTATTACATAATTCCTGGTCCAGAATTTTTATTACTATTAACTAATATGTCAGAACTACCTAGCTGAGTGAGATAAAATCCAGTTTGCTTGCTTTAGTTATCTTTTGTAATAAACTATGACTCTCCTAGATGTATAACTTAATCAGCATTATTTTCATTAGCGTTCTAGATTTCTTATGAGTCCTCATTAGTTATTACTGTTATGTAACGTTAAGAATTCCTATTAGATAAATAGTTTGAGTACTTATTAGGTGTTGCTTTTAGCGAAGATGCTATTGATTTTGACATTTAAACATTCTTTCGATGCTTTTATGGCTTTTTACTATTGATATTGTCAGATGATATTGCTAGAATACTCTAATCATCCATTGGAAAGGTACTGTGCTCATCCAAATAATAGTCAAAATCTGGTTATACTCTTGGTACAACTGCCTTGGTTGCATTTTTCATTGGAAGAATCATCAGATTTTTTATCTTCTTGTTTTGAGTTTTTACTATCTAAGTAGCCTGCTTTATTATGCTTTATTCTCTTGAGTTTTTGTTTGAGTAATAATGAGAGAATAATAAGGGTTCTTTTCTAGATTAGTCGTCGTAGTTCGCATCCAAAAATATCTATTACTTCATCAATTGATTTAGCTACTCAACTTAATTGATTTTTTATTGCTTAATAAGGTTTTGTTAATGCTGAGAACTAGGAGTCGAAATCCCAGGGTTCTTTTGAGACAATGGATTTGCACTGCTTTGATTATCCCCTCCATCATTTGAAGGAGCTGAATCATCTTAACCTCTTTGAAGAGACTTCTACTTGCTATAATCAGCCATTCCACCTGTCTAAAGATGTATTCCATTCTGAATATTTGAAACACTAAGATTATTACCATATTAGTTATTTTGATTTATATTAAGTGTATTGTTAATGGTTGTTTAGTTACTATTTAATCCTGAACTTGCTTAGTGTTAGGCTATTATGTTCTCTGATCTCTGCCCCTCCCCAAATGAGATATTATTCGATTGAGGAATAAGTGTTACACTGTTTTTATTAGTTTGACAATGATTGGGTTATTAAAATGAAAAGGTTTCAATCATGACATCAGTTACGTCGCTCGATTTATTTTTACGTTGGAAGCTGCTTCTAATAGTATTGGTATTTAAATTATCGATAGTTCTAGATTACTCTATTTTTCGCATCTCATCCAATGATTGAGTTGGTTTAGACTTTTCTTGTAGCATCATTGATGATTATCTTTTGATATGAGTTTGATTTATGCCCAATTAAATCATATCATTGATAAGATTAAGTATTATTTTGCTTTCAACAAAAGCAGTAACTTTTAATTCTATAGCCTAGCATCTTAAATCTTACAATCGTCTATAAGGTTAACAAAAATTAGGAAATTTACTTCATTTTGATTTTTTCCCTATTAACTCGATTATTTTACTTATTTTTCTTCATTATTGAAGCTTTTACTCCTTCATTCATATATATCTCCTTTATGATGGAATATCCTTCATTAATTTCCAAGAAGTTATGATGACTGTTTTCAAGATTAAAGATGTTAATGGGGGTGTGTCCACTCTTTACTTGCTGGCTTTTATGTCACAATACATTCACACTCTAGCTCTATTCCTCTGCTATATCTCTAAGACTATATAAAGCATTAACACTTATGAATTTTGGTGGAGTTTCGATAGTCCTTACAATGATCTGTGAGAAGTTAAGGAATCGTCCTAGCTCTCTTCAAAGCTTGCTTCATTCATTGATGAAATTTATATATATTTATATTTAATCTAAATTAATAATCAGAGATTGCTCATTTCAACTGAATTAGCTAGTTTATAAGCAAGGGGTTTTGGGGTTTTGGGGTTTTGGGG